TACAACTTTGCTTTAGGCAGAATGATCCAAAAACCGGTGGCGATTTTCATCGTAATACAAGAGGCCCACTTGCTAAATTTCACAATCATCGGAACTGTTTTCCTCGACTAATGTGAATAAGAGACAAAATGCGCAATCTTTAACCCAACGTAAACAAAGACAACAGACAAACTGGTTTACGGAATAAAGGGGGTAAGTTTTTAAAGAAACTGTGGTGCTGTGTCGGTGGGGTAGAATGACAAGGTAATTGTGGTTTCATCAACTGAGTTGATAATGTAAATTGACTACCGTAAATAGTTTCAAAGCTGAGGTTTTGAATGTTAGCCCTTCGTAAGGGGGGATGACGAAAGGTTAACACGTACACTCCATAAATCAGCTTTGAAACTCTCTTTGCGGTGGTAAATTTACATAAGCAACCACAATTAACTTGGTCTACGGGATGATTTCTTTTCGCTTTAATGCGTATGGAGTTGTTTCTAATTGATTTGCGCAAGAACATTGATTGATAAAAATTCGTAAAGTTTTTTTGGTAATTCCATAATCGAATAGCATGCAATCGTAAATTGACCTGTTAAGCGTGTCTTACTGGCTCCACGAACAAATGATTAGTTAAATCCATTTGTAACGCCCGAGTCACACTTTAAATTGCGAGATTATAAATGCTTTCTCCATAACAGCGCTCTTGTCTAGAAAGTGTGCTGAGGCACTGCTTGGTGACACAAGCTTGAAGCAGTTTCTCTTCGCAGTGGCTTAAGAAAAAGCGCTATCAGGAGCATTGTGCGCCTGTTTACTATGTTTCTTACGCCTGTTTACTATGTTTCTTTCGCTTGTCTGCTTTGCGCGCGTGTAGCGTGCAGAATCCCTTCATGGCTTAATCACGCACGCACGCTTGTAGGGGGAAGTCTTGCATCATGACTTATTAAAAAATGAGGTATGCTGAATACTTTTTACTCTTGTCTGTGTCGCACGCTTGGAATAAACGGTGACTTATCCTGCTTCACAACACGTTCTAATATATTTCACAGCACGTTCCAATATATTTCACACTTGTATAGCCAGCTGTCTCGAATCATGCCAAATAGAGCAGAAGAAAATTCAAGTGTGTCATGTCTGGTTGTGATCTGTGCTTACAATGGGCTGTCTCGCCTCTTGAAGAACAGTGTATGCTATAATAATAGTGTATGCTACAATAATAGTGTATGCTATAGTAATAGTGTATGCTATAATAATAGTGTATGCTATAATAATAGTGTACTGCGCTTGTCTGTGTCGCATGAATTGTAAACGAGATGTATTTCATACATAATTCGCTTGTGTCTACCGTACAATCTAAACAAGACTTTTTTTTCTTTTTCTCAATTTATCATTTTGGTAATAGTGTTTTTTAATATCTTACCTGACTACACTGCAAACATTTTTTTTACCCTATCGCGTTTGCAAACAATTTATTTTGTCTTTTCAGTGCTGGAAAACTATTTTTCAATATTTCTCATACCCCACTTCACAAGAATAATTGTCCGTCCCTAACTAACGACAAGTCGAATCGATCCGTGCGAATCGTGTCAATTGGTCAGAATTTTGTGCTGGAATTGAACCACCCCTTCCATTTATCAATAAGAACCTAGTTAGAGGTGGATAGGAATGGAAGATACGGCTGATCTGTAATTTGCATTGTGCACTGCTTTACGAAAATGGGTGAATACTATGTATTCTTGAAAACTTTGGCCTTTTTTTCAATCTCAGAACAATTTAACAGTTCATACTATTTGGAGAGGGCAGTCTCTCTGAATGCGTATGCGGATGATATTTAATTACATGATTCAAATAAAGATCCAGTGATACATAATATTGTAGATATAATACAATAATGTATTTTAGATGTGTGTGTGTGTGTGTGTGTGTGTGTGTATGTATATCGGTTCGTCGCAGCAGTTATATAAGGTTACCATTCCTTCAATTAAAGTTGGTGACTGTGAAATTCAACCCCTTAAGCATGTTAGAAACCTGGGCGCATGGTTTGATAACCATATGTCTATGAATACTAATATAGGAAAGGTGTGTAGTAAGGCATTTGGGGGGCTTTATAATACTTGGCAAGTTAGGAAATATTTGTCTGCAGAATCAACAAAGTGTTTAATTCATGCGTCTGTTACATCACATTTAGATTATTGCAATGCTCTTTTGTTTAAGCTTCCACAATATCAATGCGGCGGCTCGGGTTACATGCTTAATTCTCAGTCTGCTCATATTACTCTGGTACTTAGGGAACTTCACTGGTTGCCGGTGAAATTTAGGGTAGAATTTAAGATTGCGCTTTTAGCTTTTAAAACGTTGAATGGCCTGGCACCACAATATTTATCTGAACTACTTGTTGTAAAGCCTAGAACTAGATACAGCCTGCGGTCTGATTCTGAAACATTGCTGCTAATCCCTAGGGTGACACGGAAGACTTTTGGCGATCGAGCCTTTTTCCATGCTGGACCAACAGTGTTGAATGGCTTGCCATCTAGTCTTAGAAACTGTAGGAACATTGACTTTTTTAAAGTACAGTTGAGGACTTATCTTTTTAAGAAAGCTTTTAATTTGTAATTTTATATTCTTACTACTAGTATTATTTATGCCATCTAGCCTTAGATACTATATAAACTTTGAATTTTATATAGTATTTATTTGTCAATATTTCAGATACTTATTGTAAGAAATAGACAACTTTTTTGAGAGACATGTTTCGGCATGCTTATCAATGAGCAACTGAACGTGAGTAATTATATAACAGACAAGTAGATGAATAAAATATTTACAGTATGATGTAATACAAAAGCGGTACTAAATTACAACGTGACACCAAACATGAAAGGTGTGAACTAAAATGCTAGAAGAAAGTTTTAATGCTGTAATTGTTTGTTAATTAAAGTGCACCTAAACCCAAAAATTGTTTGTTAATTAAAGTGCACCTAAACCCAAAACTTTTTTTTTCGCTTAACGAAATAAGCGTATTTTTTGGAGCATTTTTGTGCAAAAATTTTTTTATTAGCTCAAATTTTCAATTTTCTGTGTCCAGTCAAAATACGGAAAATCGGACGCCATCTTGCCCCACGACCGAGTTTAAAGAGGAATGGCTCTAGCGGGTAATGTGATGTCAAATCGAGAACACGAAAGTCTGCATTTCACACATTTTCACTTGTTTGGGAAGGTTGTAGTCGATATTGTCCGAAAATATGTCGACTAAGTGTGTTGTAGAAGGATGTAGCAACGTTCGAAATTTGCAAGAGAGTATCGCGCTTCGTACATTCCTCATACAAGAATTGTTCTTAAGAGTTCGTAGGATGCGGTGTTTCTTTAGATCGTTTCTTGAAGGACGGTAGGAAGAGATATAGTTTTGAGCCAGATGAGTGATTTCAGTTTTTAGGTGCGTAGCGGAGTTTTCGTCCATAAGTCTGTTCTTCATGGTGTAGTGGATCTTTTCGAAGGAAGCCAATATTATAATTCTCAAGCCCAATAAAGGTAATGGAGTAGTTAAATATCAAACTAGTTTTCACTTCTTTCAAAATTAAAAACATGTTCAGTGTTAAAGATCGTACTCCTGATGCTCTAAAATCCATGGTAGTTGATCAATTTTCTTTTGCGGGATGTAATTCCCGTTATATTGGCGAAACTAGTCGCCACTTCTCTAGTAGGAAAAAGGAGCACACGGAAAGCGATAAAAACTCGCATATCTTTAAGCATTTCAACACATCTCCTTCTTGTAAGAACCTTTCTTGCTTTAGTATTCTGGATTCTGCAAACAACTCAATTGATTTAAAACTCAAAGAAGCTTTTTATGTAAATAAGATCAAACCTGAACTTAACAAACAATTACAGCATTTTAACACTTTTCTAGCATTTTAGTTCACACCTTTCATGTTTGGTGTCACGTTGTAATTAGTACCCGCTTTTGTATTACATCATACTGTAAATATTTTTTTCATCTACTTGTCTATTATATAATTACTCACGTTCAGTTACTCATTGATTGAAGATGGTATAAGCATGCCGAAACATGTCTCTCAAAAAAGTTGTCTATTTCTTACAATATTTATCATACTTGCTACTACTACGACCTTATGGAAATTTCAGATGCTGTTCTTGCATGTAGCATTTTTCTCATGCTAGTGACATTGAAAAACTAATTGAACAAAAGGGCGATGCGTGCGATTTCTAATGATCATGTCTCTACTTATGAAGAGCTTTTAGAGCAAGTTAATCAATGCTTTTTGAACGATTTGTGCTTTCAGGATCTTCTGCTTCTCACTTTGAAGGTTACTCTTAGAATTAATCTACTGAGGATATTTGTGGGACATAATTAAATTAAGATCGTTTGTGAAAGATCTCCGCGGCTCACACTGGGCCGAGATACCCAGAGTGAATACAACAGCAAATGGGCTTCCTTCATTAAGAAATTCTCTTGCAAAGACGTGGAACAAATTAGGTGATTCTGTGGGAGCTCTCTATAATTTTAAAGATTTTATATATATTTGACGACTATTTAAGCCTTTCTGAATACTTGTGAATATTGTTGGTCACTTTTATTTAAGTACTTTCTATTAGTTTTAATGATTGTAAATTAATTAAGGAATTTTGATTAAGGAATAACTAATTTAATTTAAGTGTAGCTAATGAATAATTAGACTGCCTTATTTATTTACGTACTTCTGTATTTATCTCTGTCTGGAGAAACAAGCATCACCATGCTACTCTGAAATTCTAATAGAAATAAATTCCGGAATATGTTGTCTTTACCAAAATTTTAGGACTTTGTCATGCTGAATTACTGTAGCAACTGTGCGGAGAAAGACTCCCTATGCTGAACTAATCCAAGACCACACTCAAGAAAACGATAGATTGTAGTCTATGTTACACTCATATGGGAACCAGTTTTTGTGGATCAGGGAAAATCTACATAGTTATCATGACATACAGTAATCATTTTTAAAACTCTTTGGTTTTTATCTTTTAGGACATTCTAAGCGATGTTGATGGTGTTGGACATTACTTAAGGAATCAAGCCGCCCGCTTGAAGAAAACATTTTGAACTGACTGAAGAATGGACTCACCTTTGGGTATGTCGACAAGCGAAAATTTCCCCTTGTTGGTACTCCACATGAGTATTTTTATAAAATGTTAGCAAGTAAATTTATTAAGTATCATTTAGTAGGGCAAAGTCCTTATGATCACGACTCAAGTTCGCCTGTGAGGATGCAGCGTCACAAGAATCATTTGAGGCTTTGAAAAGCAGGGTTTTAAAATGCAACATTTTGGTTTCCATGGAAATTGAAAAACTTTAGTTGGCTAAATTTGTTTTAAAATTCTGTTACGAGATTAAATTTCGCAAACTTGTGTTCCTTGGTTTAGTGAATATTCTTTTACTTTGTAGTTATTAAATAAGATAAACGTGTGCATACAATGCCTTTTACGCCACCTCATTTTTCTGTGGTAAAAATGCAACCATTTTCAAGTCTGTATTATAGGTGCTCTTATTTACAGTAGTTTACCGTTAGAGATAATAGTGATAATAATAATAATAATAATAATAATAATAATAATAATAGATTCTTATTAAGCGCATTTCTGACCTCAATGCGCTTTACATTATGAAAGCCTATTAAAAAACCATTACATTTCATCATCAAGATTGAACCTATATGACATTACACACGATCCGGAAACTGAACTCCAGGGCCCAGTTGTTCGAAGGCCGATTAGCGCTAACCCAAGGTTAAATTTTAATCCAGGTTTCTATATTCTTTGTTCGAAAGCTGTTTTGGGATAATTTTCCCAATTCTTTATAGCTCATTCAATCACCAAATTGTAAACAAGTGGAAATAAACTGAATTTTCTTTTAAAGCTTTCGGATCTGAAATCTAATTTCACACTAACCCTGGGTTATCTTAACCCACTTTTGAACAACTCGACCCAGAGTCTTAATTAGGCAAAAAGTCAACGAACATTTTTTGCAGATTTTATAGTACCGCTTATTACTGCTGTATTTTTTCACTTGTATTTTTTCCTTTTTTTAATTTTTTACTTTTTAGTATTTAGGACCCCTTTGATAACAGTACTATTTTGTACCGATGGGTTTATCCTGTCTAAATATTCGTTTATTATTATTGTTATTATTACTATTATTATTGTTATCATCATCATCATCATCGTCATTATTATTATTATTATTATTATTACTATTGCCACCCATATTACTTATCTCAAAGACTGAGGGCAGGCTATTTACACAAGGTCTTACCGAAACCGCGGTTTTATGCAAGTTTATACTGGGCCTCAGGGATTCTCTATAGGAGGGTTGATTTAATTAAATAAATGTCCCTCTACCATAAGCTTTCGGCCCTCTTAAAATTTTCTGATAAAAGGTTTCCCTGAATTGAAGACGGATTAAAACGCGGTTTTGTTAAACAACAAATAAACTTTGTTTAAATAACCGGCCCTGAGTATTTAACTGGGCTTTGAACCCGCAAATAACGGTTGTTACGGTTACTTTTGACTTATGCATGTATGGTATGTGACAGTGACATTATGATGCTTTTGCAGTAAAAAACGGTGTACCGACTGATGGCGACTTAGAAGAATTGGCCCGAGATATTGATCTTGATTGGAAAGTACTAGGGCGTCAGTTGAGGTTGGCCGAGGTAATGCTAGAGAAGATACATGGGGACGAAAGGCGTAGGCATGAAGAAGGATTCCGCATGTTGATGATTTGGAAACAAAAAATGGGTGCTGATGCGAATTACAGGACTTTGTTTGAGGCTCTGACCCACATACTCATAAAGCGTAAAGACCTGGCTGAAAAGTATTGCAGTGAGTAACCAGAGTTCTACTTTGCACCATTAACGTATGCCTAACAGTTGTTCGCGGGTACTAAGGGAAGGACACACACGTCTTGAATTATGGAACTAGTATTTTCCAAGGCCCCTAGATCAGGGCTGTTGGTTGGCTTTTGTGGAAGTTATCGAAAGCTTTTCTTAAAATTGGCAGAACATTTCAAAGCATACATTTTTAAAGTTATCCACAGTGACGTTTATCCTAACTCTGCCAGCTGCACTATCAACACTAGAAATCAAATCAAGAAATTTGGGGAATCACTATCTGTGAGATTTCTCTGTGGCTGAAACAACAAAAACAAAGAAGGTGATACAGAGAAGTCAGTTGTCTAATAGTAAAAGCAAGAGGTTAGCTTTCACACTTTTGGTGAGACGTTTCTGTTGTTTCAAAGAAAAGATTGGTCTTTTGAGTGTCTTCTTTTTGCCCACTCGGATTGCCCGCATTGATCCCGCACATGAAAAAAAATTGAATTAGAGCTACGTTCGTAATTCTTGCGATGGAAAGGCAGAAAGCGGCAGAAGATCAAAACAAAGAAAACAGAAACGACTCGCGTAAGTTCGTTGTGCTACAAACACAACTGACTTTTTTTCCCAACTCTCGAAGTAAAGAAGTCATTCCTAATTCTTAATTAGGCGAAATATTTTTGCAATGTAATAAACCTTTATTGACAAAGCTTCTTCGGTCAAGATAGCTGGATATTAGCCTTGCTCTTTTTTCGCATTTTGTGGACCTCGACTTCGTCTCGGCCATAAAAATGCAAAAAAAAAAGGAACTCGGCCAATATCCAACCATCTTGACCTCACACTTGGTTAAGAACCTATACATATATAAAAAACAGTGCTCGACTTACGGGGCGGTAATAATCAGTAATAGTGAGTTGAAAAGGTTTAAAATCGATTACATTACAGTTATGTTTCGAGATGTTCTCTTTACAAATGTTGAAAACTTGAAGACCTCAAGTTACTGCATACTTAATAAGATATTTTCTAGCATGCAGGCATGCAGTTGCTAACTCGTTTCTTTTGTGCAATGAACATAGGTCCAGTTTCCGTATAATGAAATACTTCTCGGTTAGACAAGGATGACATTTCTTTGAGAGGTTCGTGTATGTGTTGGCCATGAAATACTTCTCGGTTAGACAAGGATGACATTTCTTTGAGAGGTTCGTGTATGTGTTGGCATGGGCGATTATTTTCCAGGACAATGTGTATTGCGCGCCGGCGTCCTTCAGGGACCAGATGTGTTTGCTTAGCTCTGTGGAATTCATTTTACGCCTGTCTTTAAGCGAAGCTATGTGATTCCGGTATCTTGTTTTGAACTGATCTCCGGGTATGCCAATGTAGGTTTCTTTGCCCTTGTTGCTGCTCACAGTAGCTTGGTATACAATACTCTGCGCTAGGCAGTTTCCGTCCATCGGACAAACTGACTAACTCTGCAATTGCAGGTCTTTTCAGGTGTTTGCTGTGTGGCAGTGAGGGTTGTTTTATTGTGCGCCCTGAATTTTTCCTACAGCTTCGGCAGACACGAATATCATATCTGCAGCATGTTTCTGTTTGATTCAGTGGGTGTTTGCTTTTGAAGCACTCGTTCTCAGTGTCCCGGAACTTTCTTCTCACATTCGTAGCGAGGTTCTTGCTAAAGAGGGGATTGAACCATGTGATATTTCGACGTCTGGCTTTCTTTTCTTGTTGTCGGGTAGTCTGCTCTTGGCTTTGCTGTGCGCTGCCCTCGGCTTGGAACTTAAGTTCGAAGTCGTACCCGCTGTTTTCAAGGGCTTCTTGGTAAACCGGTGCTGCTTCATCGAAGGCCTCCTTGTTCGACGAGATCTCGTTCAGTCTTTTATTAATTGCCAG